CGACAAAACGAGTGTAAACTTCACAAACTCATTACGCCACAGTCTCCTCGGATTTCTGCCTTCATCTGAATGACCACATTTCTGTGTTTCTGCCATGCAAAAGCGATTTCACGGAAGTATCTATTTGGAAACATGATATGAAAAAAAAACCGTATTTCGAACTCTGCAGACTCCTCTGCCCTCATTCGATTCAAACGCCAAATTTCAGCTGTCAAACGAAATGCATTTCAGTTTCAGTTTTTGACCCGTCTCACTAAGATAATAAGTAAAAAATTTGCAACAAAGGTGTCATGATTTTCACGAATTTCACTATGGAATCACTGGGAATCCAAACTACTCTGTTTCTTTTTGCCTTGGTAGAGGTTAGAATGGAAAAAAATATTATTTATGTGGAAAGTGGTCTTACCCATTCATTGAAAGTTTCATCCTGTCATACCCCTCAGCAAAATAACAAGCCATTAGAAATGCTGAGAAATCAGCATTAAAATGCCGATAATTGAGCTGTGGGACCCATTTTAGATCACGACAACTACAATGATAATGCAAAGCAACATTGGGATAATCCGTTCCTTCATCATACATTTGATTCCGGCACCAGCCAGCGATTCTTTCCATCCGTCGTAAATGCAAGTATGTGTCCTTGTCAGTATTTACATTCTGAAGCATTTTAAAAAGGTATCATCCTTCTTCAATCAAAGCCAAACACATTTAATTCAAAGAGCATAAGGGCGGTTGCTCAGACAGACCCGTTGTTAGCAGCAGAACGCATTTCTCTTCACTTAGTCAGTGCTTGTCTGCTCCTCGCCCTCGCTCGTCTGAAAGGCAAGTGGCTTTGGGCGCCTGTAGTCTCTAATTATCCAATCGACTCCCATTCTCCGTAAATTCTTTTCAAAAACCATTTTTGACAGCTCCGATGTGATATTAAGTTGAATGATTCTCTCGAACGGATCGCCATCTTGTTCAAGGTTCCCGTTAATTTCACTCGGGACTCCTTAATTATACAATGACTTTATTGTGACAACCAAGCCCTGGAGAGATCAATAAAGATGGGATCTCAAATGATGGAGAGGAGTCATAGAGACTGATCAGCTTTCTATACAATATATATGAAAGACAATACCTGTACAACTGAGATAGGGACAAAACAGAAAGCCCGAAAAAACACCCGAAAGCAAAAAATAACTCATAAGCCCGGCCCGTTACTGCCGTTACTACGGTTGTTGTTGTCCCACCTTCGAGATGGGACAACCCCTGTGTTTGCAAATTATGTCCATCTTCATGACTCTCCATCCGACTCACTCACTTGACACACCACTGCGCATCTCTCCCGCCCGGCCCATTTATCTCGTGAAGTCGGACATGCGCATTATCTTGACAATAATATTCTCCTCATTATACAAGTACCTTCTACATCATGTAACAGTTTTCATTCCGGTATTCGGCAGTATTCGGACTGCAATCATCTTAACCGAAACGAGTACTTTTACATGGCCCACTGTCAATTTCGAATGGAAGAAAAAGGCAATTATGGCAGGGGTTTATTCTGATTCCCGGTATCGATTGAGAATTTGCAGGGTGGGGAGAGCGATTAAGGCTGAGAGAGGGAAGGAGTGGAGTGAGGGGGAAGGGAGGGGAGATTGAAAAGAAGGTCGTCTGACGTCTCTCTGAGTATTTGCTTTCAACATTGCTCCGTTATGTGCAGAATTGTTCATTCTCGATCATGATGATATTGTGTGGAGGGTGGGGGGTGGGGGGGATAAAGGGGAACATCTCATTCGTTTATATTCTTCATCTTCGGATTATTCTGCGACAAGTTAATCTAGATTTTCTGTAACAGACGCGCAATTGACAGCAACAACTGTCGCAACGTTAGAATGCCCTAGAAATCCATTTCAAGATCGAATGGCCTCTCATAGATTTGATTATCACCATTTTTGCGAGCTAAAAGGATGGGTCTAAAGTGTTCAAGATGAATGGTAATACCAACTGCGAGCTGGGAGAGCCCGATGCTGCTGTTCGGCCATGCGCTGACTACCCTGACTACTTTACAATGAGGGCACTTCGACTACAGAGGACAAAGGTGAGTCACGAGTGAGTCAGGTTGAGTCAGGAGGTCGCTATCTCTCCCCTCTAGAGCCTCTCTGCCATCGCGTTCAGTCCTGAAACGTCATTTGTCAGCTCGGAAGGATTGTTCTAGCCATTCTGCTTTTGATGTCATGGCATGACAATGCCTTCCTTTTCCAAAGGAATCCATCTGTCACTTTCCAATGTTGAGTATTCAGGAATAAGCCCGTAATATGACACCATGCCATCAGTAATATATCAATTACAAGGTGATATTTTATTTATCGACGATTATACATGTTTATATTTTAGCAAATGAAGACATGAAAATTTGCATCGAGAATCCATAAACACGGGAAAATTATACTCAATGAAAAAGAATGCCCAATGTGCCATCCTCTGCGCAATCACATGTCTTACACGGAACACTACCCAAGTGATAATTTCAGATTTTCATCAAAATATTGGCTATTGAAATGGCTCTCAAAACGAAGTCAAACGGCACCAAAACTTGCGACTGAGAAACAAGTTTAGGCTCATAACTGTCTCTCTCAATTTTCACTGATACATGATTATTATAGTCACGGCCCTTTTTTCTCTGACCATAAATTTCTAATGGAAAGTCAGATTCAGGTGATATTTCACAGAGAGGTTCACCAGTGAAGGAGGTTTTTTCCATGCCGCTTGCTGGCGCTGCCTGCCGATAGAGGGCGATGATGTCGACAGCAGCGCCAACTTCCTACTAGGTAAGTCATATTTTAGCCACTGGAAAAAAATCGTTCAGGCGTATGAATCTCTCTGCCAATTATCAGCTGCATCCATGGTGCATGGTGCATGGTGGCCATGCCAACACAACATACTTTATGTTAGACTTCCTAGACGATAACGTCGGCACCAGAATGCTGTCTAGCAGATTCCCAGATATCCACAACGGTGGGTTGGTATGGTCCCTATCCCCCCCCCCCCCCCCCAATCTCAATGCATGTGAGGTTTTCCTATGGGGGATACCGAAAGGACAAAGTCTTCAAGTCAAAGTCATGCACTTTGGGTGACCAAAAGACGGCTACTGAACGTGAAGCCTACACCATTTCCCGGGATAATTTACCGACTGTAGTGCAGAATTATGCCACACGTCTACGACATGAGACTGCGCACAATGGATGGCACATTGAACATGTTTTTCCATGGTGAATAATTTTTAAATATACATGGATTCTCGATGCAAATTTTCATGCATTTAACTTCATTTGTTCAAATATTATAAACATCTGTAATGGTCCGATGAATAAAAAATCACGCTTTACTTGAGAAATTATGAACCTGACTGACTTGCATGTGGATGCGATCAGTGGAAAGGAAGTAGCAGAAGTAGAAATAAATAAGAGGGATAATCGTGCTTTAGACAAGTCACGATATTTCTTTTTCAGGACCATGAAGAAAATAACAGAAGTGATCAATTAGTAAGTAATTCCACTTTAAAAAATTTTTACTGTGGAGCCACTTTTTGTGCCGGAATATAAAAAGGAAAGTTGAGAACTTCAGATTCCACTCCTCTCTCGAAAAGTTTTCACTCCCTGTCCCTCCCGATCCCAGAACAGTTGTTAATTCCGATAGCAAAAACAGTGCTATATTCGTTTTCATGTCTACCAGCATAGGGTTAGGAAACTATCGTCATTACATTCTGTATACACCAGTATAAGCTGTACCTAGACTAGACTCACGGGCGTGGAAGTAGATTGGGGTGACAATAATTTTCGAGGGAAAGTTGGTACAAAAAGAAAAGGAGTCCCATAGTACCTTTAGGCTTCCTACTATGCTTTTGTTTGTTGCTTAGCCGATGGTTCTTTATAGATGCAGAATTGCGCTCATGATGCAACCAATGATTTTTACCTGCTCCCACGGGTGGTGGGAGCTGGCGAAAGTTGTCTTGAAAGTTCTCATTCCCACCTCGTTCAGTCAAGGACAAAACATGAAGACCCTTACTTCCTGCTGCGGTATGGAAGCTGCTTTGTGATATCTGGGCCACGGATTGAATGCATTATTGGTGATTTTAACCTGCCTAGTTTTATTTTCAAGCATTACGATGAAATTCATAAACTAAGGAAGTGATAAAGCAGTGTTCAATAAGTTAACAATACGAGGTGACAATGTTTTGTTCATACATGACTCGGCATTAAATAATCTCCAGGAAGCACTTGGACATTACCGTACGTCTACATTCCAGAAATTATACTTATTAAAGGAAATGTGCCTAAGAATGCAGTGTAAGGAATAGGTTGACCGTTATTGCATGGGGCCAAGAATTTATAATAAAAAATTATTCGATGCAAGGCATCAGGTCAGACTGGTTCAGTAAACGGAAAAAAAGCAGGTAATGTGAGAACCCTGATAATACGAGTATCTATAGATAGGCCTTATCTACAGAGGGGGAAACAGCTTCGAAATTGCTCCGACAGTTCTGTTTCGACAAACGTTATTGTGTTCGGTTCTCATTTTCAAGAATCCAACGAGTCCATTTTGAGTTCCAGCAGGCAAAAGCGCTGTATTCCTGGCTGGCTCCTCATCGCTTACATTGTGAATGGCATGAGCCTTCCACCTCCTAGTAGTGAACCTACGCTTGGATTTCCAACGGCTAAAACAATAGTGCGATTAATAAATTTCCAAGCTCCCAATCCCTAGTGGCAATTCTTCAGCACGCAAACTGGAAAGAATGAGGCCAACATGGAAAATTAGGAATACTTTTTCGAGAACTGCGATCCTTGGTTGTGGTTGTGGTGCTTGTGGTCTGCGTTTTAATTCGACTTGACTATAGTTCTCGTCGGAGATCCTTTCAAGAAAAACTGCCAATGATAGACTTTCGTCGCTTTTCCAAGTGTAACCTGAGGACTTACAAATCCCATTGCTCTTTGAATTACTCTTTGAAATGAGATAGAGCCATGAGCGACGTCGCCCGTATTCTCGCTCGCCACTCGAAGGACCTGCATTTCATCGACATAAATTCCGTCTTGGTAGACCTGATGAGTGAAAATGTATTTGAGCACCATGAGTACCATGGAATTACGGATAAGGATTTGCCAACAAAGCACCTGTTTCTTCAGAAGAACTTGCCTCTGAAGGGGGATAACGCTTTCCCGATCTTCATTAAGGTTCTTCGTCAAGGAGAGTATAAGAAGCTTGCAGACACACTGGAAAAAGGTGAGCCATGAAGGGAACACGGTAATATCACACGGTTGGACATCCATGGTGTTGAAACCGTGTTTCAGCTTAAAATATTCACCTGGCAAAATTATTTTTTATTTGCTTTTATAATGTAGGTTTCAGAGAAAAATAAGTGCAGTGTCAGTTGCGGAGTGATGCCACCATAATATATATCTTCAAGTCGAAAGGGTCTGAGGTCAATTATATATTTTCCCACGTATTGAATAATTCAAATTGCTGCACTTGAAGTACTGCAAAACTGAGTCGAACTAAATGACGAAGTAAGAAAAACTTGAAAACAAGTCATTGAAAAGAAAGACAGCGAAGGGAACAGGAGAGTGTGTATAATGAAGGAAAATGAGTATCTCATTGGCGCTATCTCCGAAATAACCAAAACTAACATTGTTTTGGAAATGTATTGGGATTAATAATTATGTCAGTGCTACTATTGAAAAATTAGCAGGATCTTATAATTCCTTTCTTATTTGATAACTCAACGTTTCGATACCAGTCGTTCGGAAAAACAATTCCACACTCCGCACGCATACGATGATGATCAGGCACAGAAGTTGGCTCTAGCTGAACAGACACTCCGGTTTCTCACTCAATCGATTTCCCATGCTCCAAAGTCCCCCATTACTTACCCCCCCCCCAAAAAAAAAAATGAAATTCACGAAAATGATTGCCCATCATCAATTCGGGAGGAGGGATTTCAATTAACAACCATATCGCCCGAAATTACGTCTACTGTAGCCCGTAAATTCCCCAAACACTATTTTCTCTGAAAATGGGCTCAACCACCAGGCCTGGTGGTCGAACAACCACATCAGATTCCCCCTTTTTACTCCGCCCATGAACAAAGTGGCCTGATGTCTGCTTAAATGGCCCTATTATTTTATTATAGGTAGTAGGCCAATTTACATCCTTGAAAAAAAACGCGAAACGAAACGCGTCTTTTGTGCAGGGCTTTTTTTTCTCAACTCTTGTGTCCCCACTTGACACCCGGGTATATCTCACCAGTGACCAATAAATAGCTGTGATTATATTTCATACCTGTTCAAAGCTTTACAAAATAAGATTTAAAGCTTCATGGATTTGCCGCAACTACAATTGTGCTGACATTTGCGCTTCCTTTACATGTCAGACCAAGCAGACTTCAGGATGGAATTTGTTCCTTCCATGCATCCGGTGGTCTTCATAAAACAAGCTACTTATCATTTCTTCGGTGAAAAGGAACAGGACATTTTGAGTCTAGGGTTTGGAAAAGCCAGGAATGTATTAAAAAACATTTGCCTTCATCATGAACAAGTTTGGTCATAGGGATAAACTCTTCTCAATGGAGGGAAGAACTGTTGTGATCTCTAACAACGGCCACAGGAACACGGTGAATAAAGGTCGAATAATCTCCTTTAATGTCGACAATAAATTAATTAGCTTCCTCTGATTCCAGGATGGAAAACTGATGCAACATGCTTCATGAAGATGTCCAAGTTTGTCTCTTAGCAGAGCCCACACATTGTTGGAGCATCCCATCGATAAATAAGAAAAGCCTGGAAACTGTCAAAAAAAGTAAAATTTTGAGCAAGTCTTCAACGAAGAAGGGTAAAACTCTGCCTGACAAAAAGTTAATCTGGTGCTGCAATTTTACCAAAAAGACAACATATTTAGAATTTGCACGGGAGCAAAGGGAAGCGGTCTCGATCGTTCGTGGTTGAGAAAACGGGCGGGTTTGCTGTGATGACATTTTGCTGCACGGAGTAAAAATTGGACATTTTCATGAAACATGTTGCATCAATTTTCCATCTCGTAATCAGACGAAGAGAAGGAGTTTTTTTTGTAGCCAACAGTCACCAGACATCAACCCAATGGAACATTTGGGAGAAGACTTGAAGCGAAAGCTAGCTGTGAGCGAAAATGAGCCAATCAGTATCCACGAGATATGGCGGCGGGTCACGACTGAGTGGGACGCCATTTCCCTCCAAATCTGCTTGGACTCGATTGAGAGCATGTCTAAAAGGGTACTGGTAGTGTTGAAGGCCGAAGGCGAATAGTGTATTAATAAATGTGAATTGCTGTATGTCTGAGTGTGAAGGACAAAACTGTGTCAATGACATTGTTGACTTTGAACAGCTGTGGTTCAGCCATTAGGAGGCCAGTTGACATTTGACTAACACCAATCCAAAGCCCGGAATTGGGAGTATGATTGACTAAAATGTAAATTAAATTGAACACGTCATACTCGTGTTATGAGTCATCAACATGAACTGTGTCAAACATTGACACAGTTTTGTCCTTCACTGCATCTCCATATCTGACACCAAAGTTGATAGATCTATGTGAGAAACCCGTAGGGAACTGTGTCAAATGAACAAGGGGCTCATTTCAGTAGAAACTGGGAAGTGACTCCTTACTACAAATTTCACTCCATTTCACGCCGGCTTCCCGAACCTTCTCAGAAACATTAGCTTCACATATTAAAAGTAAAAATTTTCGTTGGTCCATCGTCGGCCTATAGCTGGCCGGCCAACTCACAAGTGCGAACTGGGCAGCCAATCATCCGCCGACGATGAGCCAACATCCTCAGCTATGGCCCGACGATAAACAAACGAAAATCTTTTGCTGGGAAGTTACGACATGTTTTATCGCGATATAATGCTAACATCTGGTCTGTAGATTATATATCCAGTGCCCCTCGTATGTCATCAGCCACAATGATTCGTAATATAGTCTCTGGTTCTGAACTTAAAGTTACTTACCCTTGCTAAAATTGCAATAAAATACGTTCTAGAATGGAAGAATGCTCCAAAGAATGGGGATGAAGAACCGGAGCAGGACCAGATTTTCAGAGACACTGGCTCAAGGTATCCAAGCCAGAGTAGAACGTATTCCAAGGACGATGAGGAAATACCAGATGCTGCTGCAGTAAACGGATCCCAACGAATAAGGATGGTACACAGTGAGAGTGATGCGGCACATGGATTGATACAATATGACAGTGTAGCAAGTGGAAAGCCATCTCCGTAAGTAATATATATTCAATTTTTCAGCCCGTTTCCGTGATATAGATGTTTTAAGTGCGTGTAAGTTCACACTGATCGCACAGCAAAAAATGTAAGAGGGACAGCAGGAAGAATGAATCGAGAAGCAACATCAAGAAGCGGTAGTGACAGACTCTTCATTTCCAAAAATCTCATTCGTCCCTCGTCTCCCGTTTTGGTTCCAATGATATTATATAATACAACGCGCATTATCCCTTTTTTTGATACTGCGGGCAATTTTGCGCTTCCACCAATATAATTTAAATTAGTCCTGGGAGAACACAGTCATTCATCGTAAATATCCTTTTGAACTGCAAGTAACACTGGTGTTTCGCGTGAGTTGCATTGGACCCTCATGTACAGAGATTATTAAATACTTGAAACTCACAATAATGTCCTAATTTTCACCTCCCTTAAAATTCTCACCCAGCGAGCCTACATTCAGGCATTGAACTGGGACCAGTGATGGAATGATCTAGTGCATTTTACAACTATATCATCTATTAAGGCCGTAGAAACTGTGGACAAGGGTTGATAATACTCCTCATCTAACATTTTCTTTGCTTTGCGGGAAAGAAAATACATTTCCCTTAGTAACGTTTTTGTGCTTACTATATTTGAATGCATGAGGATAAGGTTCGAAGGAACCGTCTACTCACCTCTCCGAAGAGAAATAAGTCAAGTGCAATTTTAATTTTAATTAATAGGAAAAAAGTGATCCATGGAAAGAGTGGCGTGCTTATTTGTCCACACGTTCAGTAAAAGTCCAAAGAGAAATATTTTCTTGCAGCTTATCTTTCCTTTATCTTTTCGAGTTCATGTCCTTTGTTTCCTCTAGCGTCGAGAACGCAGATGCACGTTCATCGCCTGAAGATACATACATTTTAAACGCCGAGCACAAGCAGGTACAACAGCATTTTCTCTCGTTTCTGTAGCCCCTTCTTAATACACAATTTTCGTTCTGTATTATTTTTATTGTGGATCTTTCCCTGAAGAAGGAAGTCCTGCCCTCCCAAGCATCGTTTCCCCCTTTCTACGTCATATGAGCTTTTAAAGTCTTTTAGTTAACCACGTACGTCTAGGCTGGGATGAGTTCAAACCTCCCCTCCATCTCAGGAGAGAAAACTTGCGCCCAATTCCCTTCCTTCCTTGGAAAGCAAAATATATTATGCTAAAACCATTAAAGTAATTGTTATGAATCAGACGGTGGAGAGGCCGATGTTGGGGAGATGGATTGTAGACAAATGCGCACTGATATATATCCCCAGGGGCCGTATTCACGAAACATTCTTACGAACTTATTCTTCGTAAGAAGAGAAAAGTTCGTAAGTGGTATTAATGAAACCTCTCCAGCCACGAAATTCTTACGAAGTTCGTACGAAGTTCGTAAGAATGCTGCTCAATTTTGGTATTCACGAAAGCACAAAAGTTGGTATATTTCTTCGTAAGTCTACGAATCGTCCCGAGGTATCGTAAGTGGCCACAATGACGATGTCGAGGGATCTATGGAACTCTCTTTCATTGGGTGTCTCAAGCAAAGGAACATTCACACTTGGCGGTTAACATGATATATGCACACAGGATTCGGAAGATTTTGTCTCGGAGGTTATGAGGTTATTCACATTCATCCAGTTTCAGAAAAGTAAGACGATAATGCGACAGCAAAACTCTTTTTCCGCTCAATTATTGAAAAATCTTTCGACAGAGATCGGACAGTGGGAAAGATCTACCGCCAGTCCTGCCACTCTACCTGAGAAACTTAACTCCTTTCGCCTTTGCATGTCAGTTCAGGTCCATGAATTAGATTTTACTTTTTTCGCAGTTCTCCGTACAGAGGAGAGACAGCTCACTGCCTCAGACTCTAAATCCTATGCTTGCAATTTCATTATTCCTACAACGCTTGAGCTGAGTTTCTTCAGCAAGACATTCTTCCTTCGCTCGACTTCTTCAATGAAGTTCGTACGAAGTTCGTAAGAATATCGCATTCTTACGAAGTTTTCGTGAATACGGCCCCAGGCTCTTTGCGACACTAAAAAGTTAAACAACTTTCGATCCGAGCGAGCTCTCTCGGGCTCCTCCACTGGAGGAGCCCTATATAGCCTAGATATCGAACCAAATTAGGAGTCTGAGGCTCTTAATTTGGTTCAATATGTATCATGTAACATATATTTCGTAGGGTTTTGTGGAATTCAGGGGGATTTCGAATCTCTCTAGGGAGATACAGGATTTCACCAATCCGCGGATTTAGCCGAATCCTCTCAGAGTCGTGTTAATGTCACTAAACCCTAGGGAGATTCCATATCTACCTGGCTCGAAAATTACCCTTCCCACGGCTTGTCCCGTGGAAGGCAATTCTCCTTCGTTTTGTGTTTACGGATTATTTCAGGCTGAAGAATACCGTGTTATAATCTGTTCCAGACCAAAATTATCGGATATGGAATCCCCCTAACCCTTTATTGTGGGTAGCCAAAAAGTGATTAACTGGAATCGACATGTAAGTACCGCCCTTTCGAGAAAGAATGCGCAGGGTTGACAGATTCTGTTGCAATCCTATTGCCGCCACAGCCATCCGCAGGACACACGAAGAAAAAGCATGAAAATCCATATCACGCGTTGACAACCCTATCTATTTTTATAACACTTCCAATTATGGGCGAGAGCAAAACCCGATCATTTATTGCCCAAAAACCTCATCCATCAAGTTTATTAGCCGTCTTCATTTGGAATCATCCGAAAACTGCGGTCAGGAATACATTATAGTTATCAGTGAGAATGCCGAGCCTTATTTTGCCTGCCACTAACGAAGAAATAGAAGCTTGCATGGCAGTGGTAGCGCCAACGAAGGCAAAGGCTTTGAGGGCAGAAACAAGCTACGCTAGTGTGGGTGCAGGATCCATCCGCAAGTGCAAGAAGTCTTGTACCAACAGGTGCAGTGGAAAAAAATTACGCATAACATGCTCTTCCAAGTGTCCCGGGGGAAACCTTCCAAAATAAGACAAGTATATTGTTAATTGGCGTTAATTTTTTTATTTCTATACATCGACTGAAATTAAATTAAATTTTCCCGGAGTGTCTTGGTAATTTTCTTTATCCATAGGGATAAACAAAATGATGGAAGCATTGGCAGCTAATCCGAGTGATTTGGAATCCCCTAGGGGGACGTGATATAATGGACGTTTTCGAGAGTTCTCCGCTAAACCCGCTGATGAAGCAGAATCCAATCTCTTCCTTGGGAGATTCGAAATACCCATGAATTCCACAAAGCCCTACGACATATAGACGATTGTGACCGAGTGAGTGAGTGACTGACTGACGCTAATCCTAATCATGTTCTAGAGAAGTTAGAAATCTGAAACTTGGTGCACATGTACCTTTTGGGATGCAAATTTCAGAAAAAATCCGACTTTGGAGGTACATGCCCTGGTGCTACCCATTTTTGGGAGAGATGTTTTCAATGATATTGGCTTCAGTGAAACGGAGAAGCATGAAAAACTGAAACTTGACAAGGACGTTCGTACTGAGACACAAAGTTCAGGGAAAATGTCAAGTTTTACATGCATGCCATGGGAGCGTACTCTTTTGGGGGCGATCCCTTTTCAAATATTTTTTTTTAGTCCTACCGAATTGGTCAGATATAGAAAGGTGAAACTTGACACATAAGTACCTACTGGGGGCGCAAATTTCAGCGGAATATGTTTTCTAAACTTTATTTGCTCCAGGCAAAGGGATAAAAATGGAAAGGTGAAAAGTGACTTGGAAGTGACTGAGACTCCGAGTTCAGGAAAATGTCAAATTTTGGATATGTGTCCTGGGGGCATATTTTTTGGGGGTGACGTTCCCAAATAATTATTTTTGTCCGTTCAATTGTACAGAGATAGAAATGTGAAACTTGGCTTAACAACAACAGAGATGATGGTCAGATTAGAAAAATTCCAGTTTTGCGGTGCATACCCCCAGGGCACAGTTTTCGGCAGTGTCGGGTTTTCCAAAGATATTTTTTGCACCAGGAAGAAGAATTAATTGATAAGGGTAAGACTCGGTATGCCCGTAGTGTTCCGAGTTCTGATTTCAATAAGAATGTTAATTTTTTTTAGTAAAACCCTGGATGACATTTTTTTTGCAAAAGGTGCGTTGTCAGAAACTTTTCTGATTTAGTGAAGGAGAGAACTAAAGAAAGTTGAAATTTAGAGCCGAAGTGCCTGTTCCATTGCTGAGTACATGCACTACTTTTCAAATATGCCCCCTCAGGGCAGATTATGAAGAGATTCAAAGTTATGCACACAAGAAACAATGGGAGTAATTATTCCGATGACAACCTTGATTTTTTCTCCCTCGATACACAATTCGACGGGCACATACTTTCAATACGTTTGGCCACTTTGAAACAAAATTACTGCATGAATCATTATCCTGGGAATAGAGCAGCGAAAGCGCGATAATAGCAAGTTTGTTTGCCCGCAGGGCCAGCAAACTCGCTAATATGATAAATTCCCCCTCAGGAAAAGCGAACCAAACGTGTCCAAAGGCTCTGAAATATTCGAAGTGTGTCACATCGACACACGAAGTGTTTTGCGCGTGCGTGCGCGTCGCCCCACAACCAAATTAGCTAGCGGTTTTCCCATCTGCCTAGCCTATGACAAGGAAAGGCAAAGGTTTGTAGGCTTTTAGATACACGAACCATGGAAAGTTTTAGCGTATAGTATGGAATGGATGGATAATCCCTTGGTTTCCTTTCATGTTTCCTTGCAGGAGAAGTGCATTTGCCAATTTCGAGGAATCCTGCATGACGTTGCGTCTCCAATCACATGCCAAATGGAAGTTGAATCTGACATCCGCAAACGCCTCCAGGTTAGGGTCATGAGCCATTAGACTCTATTAAAAGGGCTGGATATGAAATGTATGAACTCGATTGACTATGAAAGTGAGACACCGGACGGCCACGAAACTACTTATGTTCCCAATACATTTTGTTTCACATAATTGAACAGCAGGGGTGTTGGGTGAGGACTATGTTTTTCTATATCTAAAACTGAGCGCTTGAGAATCCTGAAACGTAACGGAAGTTCTGCTCTAAAACAAAAGGTATAACAAGTTTGTCGTTTCATACAGTATATGACATTCACAGACTGCTAAATTAATGTGGGATTAGCAATGCCAAGAAAATAATTTTATTGACGGCGTTAAATCGCATGAATGCACCATGACAATAAAAAATGAAAGATATTTAATCGTTCACCAAATAATAATGAACTTGTCACCAAGTATTTTCCCACAAGGATATTGACTTCATCCCAGATCACAGTGAATTTTCACAAATTGGAATCAGTTTCCAAATTCTTAATTTTTATTTCACCAAACACGATTGCATCATCACAGGTACTGGTATTACCAAATTTGCATTATCTCGCAACAAAAAAAGGATATCATCATCGAACTTATGACATTTTCAGTATTTGCATCTATCAAGGAAATGATTTTTCTTCATTTCCGGTTAGATCTGTAATGTCAAAATGAGATTGTAAGATCATATCATGCTTTGTTGGGACATCAGGGGAGGACCAGTGTAACTAGTCTCCTTGCCCTTGTGAACATGTAAGGGAGTTGTGTACAGCGCTGACATCCAGTTTCTGTGCGCCCTATGCATTAGAAGTGCCATGGCAACTAAAGAGTTTGAGGACATTGAAACAAAGAGAGATGCCTTCATTGCCTGCAGGACCTCACATGGGAAGAGGTTTGGAAAAGTGATCAAGAGTACTTAATCAGAAAAATGAAGCTTTAGGAGATCTTAAAGAGAACAAGACACTCCTTTGAGTCGTGAGAGCAGCAAATTGTGAATGTACATACCCTGCTTGGATCAAGACTGACAAAAATTCACTCGGAATGCTAATTCACAGCAGGGATAGTCAGTGTGTTCTGCCCTGCAGGTCCGCTAAAAGGAACATTTATTTCTTTTGACAAATCAAATGCGACAATGATTTGGTGCTAACTCAATCAAATTTGGTGGTCATTTCATGGCAACTGGTGAAAATACTGAGGGAGAATTTGGTGTTAGATTCATTAGGTATGGTAATGAAATCATTTGGTGATGGTAATAAGAATTGGGCGATGTAAATTCATTGAATGACAAAATACAAAAATCTACTGATGAATCATTACTTCTTTGTGACAAACTCAATATGATTTGGTGACGAATTAAAAACTAAATACTACCGGAAATCTAGGGTAAAGCAAAATAATCTTCAACCGGCGATATCATATTAAAATGGGAATGAAAGAACCAATACCTTTTAGAACTCACCGACGATTGATCGATAATGTGTTAATGCACGCGCGGGGGTTGGTATGCGTGGATACACGCTCGAGTGCGCGATCGAGCTGGACTGTTATGGATTTAGAAGTTTGAACAACATTGTGGCTTCTATTGGGTATGGATAAGAAATCCGGTGGCTGAAGGAATATTTATATCTAAACATTTCTCGGAGCTACAGTTTTGTATGTTGAAAGTACTTATCAATATTTCGTTTTTTTTCATAAAAAAGGAATTTCCCTCTTCAGCAACGCCAGAACTTAAGAAGTACTCGAGGCAAGTATTTTGAAAGTCCTCGCGAGTCCCACTGTACTTTGTAAAAGGTGGTGCACATACGAGTATCTTGGAACGTACAATACATAATAGTATCATCTATTCCAAGGCATACTTTTTCACACACGAGATGTTTCTTGAAATGCATTATATACTGTAATTCTTCAGTTCTGCATGAAATAAAATGGTGCAACTGATTTTGTTTCAGCAGCAATTCATCAAATTCAGGAGCTTACTCTGACAATTACAACCAAATCGGCTAGCTACGTCCTCATACTATCACGGACATTATGTAAACCCATGTATTATTGTGTAACTTAAGAAACCTATACTGCGATCTTGAGTTTTTACACTTATTGATGTTACATGAAACGTTAAGAAGATAAACTACAATGTTGATGGCATACGCAAACGTAAGCGTGCATTTGAGCAATGCATTCTCGACCAAAAATGCTTTGCGAGATTTTCATGAGGGTCACATGAGGAATATGAGATCTCATGAGTTCCCATGAGATACTTATGAGGCATAGGGTGGGTCCACACATGTAGTTACGAGGCCTCATGAGATCTCATGAGTTCTCATTTGACATACATGAAGCTTCATAAGGCTCATCATGTATGATCATGAGGTTTATGAAGATCTCACGAGATCCGTTCAGTTTTATGATCTCTTTGAAATAAAGAGAACCAGGGTTGAGGCACCAGTTGGGGCGCCAATTTATGGACAGTTTTGCGTATTTTGCCATTTTACAAAATTCACGCTGAAAAAGTATTTCTTCAAATGCTACATATTTTGCATTTGCCTTTCAGCCACCATTAAAATTATGCACGTGTCTGCTGAGACCATTGATGTCATCAATGTCATCATGTCTGCATGCGTCATTATAGTTCATGTCATCAGTGGCCTCCATGCCCAGCCTTTCATTCAACCTATTAGGACATAAGCCTACCTGGAAACTAACAATTTTGCCAGAGTGTTCAATAGTATTAAAACTATCAAAATGGAGAACTATGAGGAGACTCCATACATTATAGGCCTAGGCCTTCACCACCTGAATCCCCCGTCAATTTCCTGTTCAATGATATTACACGTTGGATATGCCCGGCATATTCCATGCTGGATATTCCTCAAAGTCTTATATTACCTGCGGCAAAGTTTTCCTGTCTCTATTGGAAATCGTAGGCATTTACTGGCAGTTTGAATGAAAATACGACAAATGGAAACGTGGTCCAGTATATTGCATGCTGCATTATCACATATAATAGAAACATGCCATGACTTGGTTTCCCTGTTTGACAAATCTTTGAATTTCACGACTTTGGATCCCAAATATTTGTTCCCTTGTTTCACTGGGGCTGACGGCGCCTGTGTGGACCTTGTTGTATTATACCTTGGATGAAACTTGAGAAAAAGATGAATAGGATGACTCGAAGCATTGAATGATTTCTCTCATTAGAATTTCCAGAGTATATTTGGTCGTGACCATCCTTCCTGATGGGCATTCGGCTAATTCCTTCTGCTAAAGCCGCAACAACATTCTAGGATTTCCGCAGCACCTACTTCTTCCATGTCCCCTTGCCCTTCAAGGACGAAGTTATTAGTTTTCAGGCCCTTAACGTTGGCAGTGATGGATAAAAGTTCTTCCCAAGTTCAGATTTACCAGGAGTTCCGGTATAAAGAACAAAAAAATATTTCAACCTAACGAAGCGGAAAAGGTCTTCTCCGAGATTCCTCATGACAAGTAAAGGGCGTCTTTCGTCCTTTCCATAGGTTTTTCTTTTCGGCATTTCTTCGCAAATGACAATATCCCAACTTATTACTATGAATTGGAAGTCGGATGCGACATGCACGGCAGAAGACTAAGCGATAAGGGTGCCAGTCCCAGAGTCCTAGCAAGAAGTTACGGAATTCACCGATGGTTCATTTTCCGATCGGATAATTCCGCAATGTCATCACTGCTGATACTTGAGTTATGCATGCCAATTACCCATTTCTGAATCCTAAAACTGTCAAAGGACTGAATGGATGTGCAATCTACGCTGCCATATGCTATAAAATATATTTATAGATGATGCTTGACTCGTGTCGAACAATCGGACACGCTCGCGTTGGAGCACGGTATTCAGTGGGGAGGTGCACCTTGCTTCCGTTGTCCACACGTCATTATTTACCAAACTGAGATGAAAGAGCAGCAATCTCAGTGATTTCATAGTACGATTATATGGAACTAGCCATTAAACTATATAGTTTTGTGATAGGTGGAAACTAGATAGGAAGGTGACATGTTACGGAATTACCTTTCAGTTTCACAAGAGTTGCGAAATTCCCAGATTTCGCCTACATTGACCCCCCGGGATTACTTTCGTATGATGACATTGAGTTGATATGCGAAGAAATATGGAAATGCAAGCCCAAGTATATTTTCAGATGTCTTCAATGAAAGGATTCAAGGGAAGTAGTGGTACTCAACTAAAGTTCTGCCTTCTCATCTATCTTCTTCTCATATAACACATATTGACCTCATTCAAAGTCCAAGGATTCTACTTCCCTTTTCATGAAGCAAAAAAGCTTCAACACGGCAAGCAAATGGAGCATTTAACTAAGTCTAAGTTATGATATTCCTTGACCACTCTTACATTTTATTCAAACCTAGACATATATGAATTATCCTGGTATAGCATTTTCTATTAGGATCTAATTTGGATTTGTGCATTACCATTATAGTATCCAGATAATAGAAAACTCAGGAAAATATCATGACCTAGTGACCTCAACCGCAATTCCACTTCAATTACAGGCATTCTTCAGCACTTAAAACTATTTGTTAATTCCACCCACCTTGCTCGTTTCATATGCAGTGAAATATCTTATAGCTTGTATCGCCATAGCTTGAAAACTCCCTTATCATATACAAAAGTCAAGTACCATCTTGAGCCACATGTGCATTGTTTATAACCTCCTGTAGGTTATAACATCCAGTACCTAATAGCGGGGTTTGGCCCCAGGCATATTAGCTAAGGCAGGTGTTATGGTATGTGATTTTATTTGCGACATTCATTCAACATTTCACATTAATGTCATTTTGTGCTTGTCTCCTTGAAACCTTACTTTTGACTTTTTTTTGCAATATCTCGGGAGCAGATGTCATGAGAACAATCAAAGCAATTATGAGTGCCATGAGAATCTTGCATGAATTTGGCTACGAGAATATCATGAGAATCCTCATGAGATTTTTTGCAGGGTTTCCATACAGTATCGTGCAAAGTGAAACCACAATGAGAAAACAGTCGCTGGGCATGGGCGTTGGACGGATTTTCCTTTCCATATGTCTTACATGTTTTACCATGTCCAGCACCCAGCATAGTGACGTTCTTTGAATTTCCTTTTGTCACTTTTGGCGTTCCTATTCAGCGTAGATTCAGCGTAGAAGCATTTGAATTGTCTTATTGCATTTTACTTTCTTATTTTCATATTTCACTTTTAAAACAAATTATTTGTTTATGGCATTGCCCTGCATGAGATTCAAGCGAAGATGCTTTCAAGCAGGGAATAATTCAAGCGAAGAAGCTACTTCGGTCGGCGAACATTTATTCATATTGTATTCAATTACATAGACTTTTAATATTCTCGCATGAATAGCTTGCGTTATGCAAACATAAAGCTGCTCATTTGATATGATATCTGTTTTTGGAAGAATGCTCACAACATCTTGAACTATTATTGTTTGTACTGTTTTCTACAGGTAAACATTGGAGGTGGCGCCAGAAAGCCTTTCGAAAAGGCATGCAGGGAGTATGTTGAGGAGTATTACTCCATGGCAGGAGATGTTCACTATTCTCTCCCCTCTGGTTTGCTCCTAAAGGACAAGGAATTTGATTATCTTCTTTCTCTAGCAGAAACAAAGGATCTTGAACTCCCACCAGATTATCGGGCTAAAGCTGTTGTCTTCAATCGGGCTAAAGACATATGTGCCACTGCTCCTTCCTTGGTAGTAGCAGACTACAAGGTCTCTGAAACATTCAACGAAGATCATGCATTGGATCATGTCATCGAAACTGCGAGACTAAAGATAAAAACCAGCGTTCGTCATCTCAAGGAAAGTTCCCATGATGTTTTCCTGTCTTATCCAAGTGGAAACAATGTTTATAGCATTTTTTTCCAAATAAGTGGAATTTTCTTAGAAGAGGATGAGGCAGTGGTTAAAAATAGCATGATTAGAGCGATTCACAAGTGCGCTGATGATAAAAATGTATTTAATACATTATGTGGGTCTTTCAAAGCTTCAAATACCATAGCGCTCGCCTTTCCTGCCTTTCCTTTCCTAGAGAGAGGAACTTTAGGTAAAATCCTAGGTTGTGCATTATGTCCGCGGAAGATCTTGACAAGAGACGATATTGGACAACCAGCAGACCTCCAAGAATTCCTACGAAGTAACGGTCTGATGGAACTTCCTGGAATAAATGCTGAGCGCACAGAAGCAGCAAATGAGTTATTTCGTGACATTTTTTCTTTGTATGTCTGTGCATCTTCTTCAATCAAAATGCCACGAACACATGAGGAGCACTTCAAACTCGCCGACGCTCAAATGGCGAAGACACTATGTATTTTGACTCCTGAACAGAAGACACTCATAGATGAACATGAGGGCTCCTCCCCACTTCTCCTAATTGCAGGAGGGTCTGGCACAGGGAAAACAATTGTTGTGAAAGAGAGAGCAAAACGCCTTGCGAAGGAAAATCCATGTACTGAAGTGATTGTAATGAACCTCCCAGGGGGATATCTAACCAAAGACTTCAGGAATGAATTTCAAGGTATGTTATGAATGTTGTCTTCGTCTCTTGATGTCACAAATTATCACTTAAATGATAATACATTCATCAACATTATTATTTGTTACTTACTGAAATACCAATTACTAAATGTAAGCGAAGGTAGACACTGTACTTTAATGATAGGGAGGTATCAGTTGATTTCTCTTTGAACGATTGTCATGAATTAGAAGGCATCATGGCATCATACTGGTTGCAGCTGAAGATAGGGGCCACGTGCGCATGCCTTAATGGGCTCGCGACATGGCCTTAAAGGAAGTTACAGAGTATCCTCGTTAGCTGCAGTTCACCCTGATGGCAATCAGTATATTTTGGTTCATGATCCGATTCAGTCCTCCTTCCTCAAAGCACTGGCTAAGAGCGTGGGACCATTAACCCTTTTATTCCCCAACAATGATGCATATTGTTTGATCCAGGCGCTAAAAGGATGGAGGGAGGCAATTGACACTAAACGTGCTAGCATCCATGGCTCGCATAGATTACTAAATGAGTAATGCTATGACAAATCAGTATACTACAAAATACGACTTTCCCCAATCGTCATTAAATGTGCACCGATGCTTCGTACTTTTGATGAAGTGAGGTACCTGAAATATATTTTATTTTACAGTTCCTTAGATCTGAATATATAGCAGAGTTTGGAAATAAAAAGTTATGACCCACTGCCCCCCTCAATATAGTAATAACTTATCTTCTAGTAGAGAGTTGCTCAATATCTCCTTGAGACCTTTGTTCCTGTCCTTTCCAATAATGTCATAGGAGATGATAGAAAAAAACATGCCATCATGAAATAGACGCGCTAAATTTTGACCTCATTTAGCCCCGTGATTCCGAATTCCTCTGTGCCCCTTAGGACAGAGGGGGGAAAATCTTGAAATACTTCTCTCCCTTAATCTGCCCTGCAGGGACATATTTCAAAAGAATGATTTTTTTCAGCACTTGCCAATCGAGCTGATACTTCTGAGCCAAGTTTAAATTTTTTTTATATCTCTCTTTCCTGGAATCGGAAAAGAATCAGGGAAATGTGACTTTTGCAAAAAAAAAGTGCGCTGAGGGGTTGTACTCAGGAAAATATATATTTACTGAAATCAGTACTCAGAGAACGATATTTCTATCAGGTCTCAGTCTTCTCTACAACATGGTTAGAATTAGCGCCAGTCACGCTCACTCATTCAATCACAATCGTCTATATAGGGTAAGTAGTCCGGTTTCTGGCTGGTATTCAGTTGTTGGCCAGTGAAGCTTAAATTTAGCATAATTAGTTAATCTGGTCGTTTTCAAGTGTTCCATCAACATCTTCCCGTACGAGGACCTGTTACTAGTGTTTCCCAGTAGGTGGAAAAGGTGTCCACTTCCTTTGGGAGTCATATTAGCGTCGCCAAAAATTGGGGCTTAAGTGGCCAAAACTGAGGTATTTATATTAGATATTGGAGATAGGAGTTAGCAGCAAAATAAATGATCAGAGGATCATGACTGTGATGTGAGTTGCATGATCCCTGCCTTCCTACATATAACACTGGGCTTGAAAATAAAACCGTAGACCCTCTGGAAATTTTCCTATAGGATTGTTCACTCCTTTCCATCATGCTTCACCGTCATCAGACAGTGAAGATCGTGCGCCTTCATCAAATATGCCAATTTGCAGGTAATTTCTAATTTCATGAACATTTGTTAAGAAATGGAGGGGTGTACAGGCGTTTCCAAAGCCACACTATGTTCAGCCAAACACGCCAAGCTTACGGATGCCAATTGTGCTGAGGAAATTGACGTAAAGACTAATTTGACAGGGAGAAGGCAAGACACATGCAGTGACACCACATGGGTATGCATTTAACAACCACCGTCGTAAGACCTGAAGCGGTTTTGAACAAGTCGATAAAATGGTTGTACGGGCTTCATGCACGAGGGTGTTCCACACAACATTGGAAACCAAGTGGAACGTGTACCTCGGGCAACTTTCGGAGACAATGTGAACAGCTGACACATTGATGCAATTTCATAGTGAACGTTTGAACTTGACATTGGAACTTTGATCTTGGCCTGCGCGAACACTTGACGTCACTAGAGCAGAATTCGGGCCTGTGGGGCTATACAATTAATGGAAACTGCATTGAATACTTTTCGACTTTTCATTGACAGTACGAGAATTAGTGCAATACTTTCCCCATATTGGCTTGCATTACAAAATTGACAACACTGCCTACAAACCGCAAGTGAAAGGGCTAGCACTTTGCACAAGCATTCTAGAGAGACCATAGAAGAACTTAGCAGTAATGGTTTCTGTATACATGCTGCTATTAGGAAATATCCGCTTATGTTGCTCAAGGCTGATATTAGTTCCACGATCATGAGTCAAAGAATCGTATGCATATGACTTTTAAGACATCGATGTATCCCGAATTCCTGTGGGAACTGGATTGATGAACAGGTCTATATATTTCGACAATTGCATGTACTCTTCGATAGAACTATTTTTTAAATTCGCCCAAACTAATTTGTCAGTCTATGAGGGGATTCCTTGTGAAGGGCCATATTACCCCAATGGCCATATTCCCCCAAGTTACCCTATGCTTCCAAACAGTAACTCGTATGCATAAAACTGCAAATTAGGTGATGATGTCGAGACTTCTCCTTCCGTGACCAGCTCTGGGAAGAGATTAAATTCATTCATGGACCAAAAAAAAAGGACACCATGTGGCCTAAAGTGACCAGGCAGCAAGTGGAGATGCTACCATAAAATATCAACCTTTAAAGAGAAGATATATCTAATTATATGAATGCTAGACCTTGACTAGGAACGTCATGATAGGTGAAATAGCTTCTTGACGTCCCTATCCGAATACTGAAGCGCCACAAGATCTGCACAGAACCGTGCTGGTGCCGCTACTTTATTCTCGCCAATCTACTGGGAGCCTTCCTTGCGATGACTCCGCACTGATGCGACCCAGCTGCCTTGTCCCCTTCCTCCTTCATCAGGTTCATGTGGGTGTAACGTCTGTATGAAGGTACTTGAAAACCAGTTTTAAAAGGCTCTCCTTATGCATTACTTCCTCTACCTCCGCGTAGATTGTTCTACATCCTCAATGCGTGTTCCAAAATGAACTCAGTAATAGCTAAGAATGAATTAGCAGAAGCGACACATGGACTTAATACTTTCAGGCCAGGGCATACTATACAAAAGTGCTTGGATTCAAGGAATGCTTCCAAGGAATTCTAGAAAAAGGTATACCTCCTCTTCTCTGTCCTGACAAGAAAAGGACCCAGATACACGCAGGAACTGTAAACATCCCGACTTAGCCAACACTCAATGTTTTCTAGATTCAAATGATCGTGCCCGTACAGTTCACGGGCGTTAGCCTCCATGTTTTAGCAAAAACTTGACCTAACCGACAGACTTTCCTCAGGTCATGCTCAGGCTTACCTTTTCTTCGCTCATGATAACTCCAACCCTTGACTTACGGGGAAATTTTGTCTATGCGTAAATGGCCAAAACTTTAATGTCAATCAAGAAAATACTTATATTTTGAATTCTCATTCAATTCATATTCTAATTAAGTTATTCCCTACTCGATATATTTTATAAGGTCTTTGGGCCAGACTATCTCTCCAGGGACTCTTTCCAGTTGATGCTCTCGGAGATGAATACGAGGAGGTTGAATTTTGTTACGGGAGTGGGTTGAGGAAAGGTAATAGGCGTTACCAAAGCCTATTGATGAAAGACTATTCATCAATGTCACCAAATTGTTTGAAGACTTGAAAGAGGATTCAGACTTTTTTTTTTTCTTCTGGGGTCATATTCAGATCGCGTGAGTTGTTAGCATTTTGTATGGCCTCTAGGAACCTTACTGAGTTCTTCATGAAAAGAAACTTGACTAGGATTCCAAATCCATGCTTTTCTTCTTCCTAGCACATATGCGAGATAGTTACGCGCTCCCCCTCCTCCCTTTCTCTATAGGGAAGGCTAAACGAGATATCCAGCGTAGATGATCTACCTGAAGAAGAATTTACCTTGAGAAAATCGTGTTACGTACCTGAGCAGTCTCTCGCACAATGCTTATTTTATATTAAATGAGGACTTCACTACATTTAGCAGATCGAATAGAACTACATCTGAGCCACAGAACCTGCTTTTTTATAAGAAAAAAGAAAAAAATAATAACTTTTAAGAGGGGCGAGAGAGGTAAGATAAGGGGACCATCTTCCTCCTGCCAGGAAATTGCAAATTATGCTCCAAGTTCCGGAAGCAGCAGTTCCATGACCATGATTAAGATATGACTGCATTACAAATTCCACTCTACTCAAGAACATTCATGTGAATCATGGAAAGTATATCAGCATCAAGTATAAATTAGTCATTTTCTATACCATGGGATTCACTGATCACGAATAAAAAGAATATATTTTACAATTGCTACGAATCCAATGATTACCGCAACGAGAGAGGAGGAGTCTTCTCATCCATGTAAAAAAATGTGGCAAAGGCTGGTGCGGAATAAAATCTTGTGATCCCACGACCATACCAGGCGGTAGCCATTGAAAATTCAAGGATAGCTCATTAGTGGAGCAAGACAAGGTAATAAATAAAATAGTTATTTCAAAGTTCAGCCTGATTACTTTTTATTAGGAATTTCAGCCAGGAGTGCTTGATCATCATCGGGTTGAATCATGGCGTAACTGAAGCAGAATTAATGAATCTTGAAAGACTTGAGAGCAATGCCGGCCAGTCATTTCCTTATCCGGAATTCCAAGGTCTCGATGCTATGAGGGCGAGTCGTCATATCCCATCATCCAATTCCCCTGTGAGACCCAATCATGCCTATTGGCCTATCGGTCTGATTGGACATTATGATCACTTTTGCTCATAAGGCAGAACTAAGCTGAAATAAAATATTCAGGGGCTGAATGTGAATATTTCGTTCTGTGATATGGGATATTCACGCGAACCACACCTCTATTTCGTTAGTTATTCCATACATAAATGTATCGCGGTAGCTCGGGTTGGAAGATGTTGCACCGTTCCTCGCGCCATGTGCCTCGTGCCTTTGGCTCAACATCAGAAGCAAAATAAAAGTTGGTGCATTCTCCCATGTCCCGTTAAACTTGCGAAAGAAAATCCTTGCCTAGTTCGAGCTGGAAAGGGCCTGCCTTCCACGTCATTCCGAAGTTTTACATGAAGTATCAATCTAGGTTTAACTGGACGGCTTCTTATGCTATTACTGATGTTAGAACCACACTGAAATGGCATGTCTGACAATCAAGCTCCTTACATCCAAGTCAGAATGGTGAGACGCGCATTGCCCTACTTCTTAACAATGCCTCATTCATTATGCGGAATATTCAAGAAGGTCCCATTTCTGGAGAACATCTTGGCACTCAATGGACCCTAAGGTATTGTCTCATTGAGCTCATTTACAACTTCATGCCCCTCAGATGTTTGCAATTCCT